AAATATACTATATCATTTTTTACTAGTTCTTGTTTCTCGGATGAACCGGGAATTTGGATAAGGCAGTTTTGTTTACGCCCATCTCTCGGCCTATATATTAATGGAACTGGTGTATCTGGATACTTAATACGATGGAGTTCAAGGCATTTTTGCGACGCAATTCTTCGAGATAGGCGATGTGCTGATAATATGCGATCTGAGGGAGTCCATTCCTTTTCGAGACATTCCCATTTTTCTATAGTCGGGAGAATTCCTCGAAATAATTTTGATTGTATTTGATTATTTTTGCGACGCATAGCTTTTTTAAGTTTACGTAACTTAGGACATTTTGCACGATAATCGGTTAGAACTTCTTCGTAATAATCAGCATGCTCTTCTAACCAATTATGTGGCATTTCTCCGAAGAATGGCGGAGGTTGTGCATCGTCACCGCAACAAATTACCTGGCATTTATGTTCTAATAAATAATTAATGAACATTTCAAGATTATGTTTAGGAACTGTACATACCTCATCCCAAATAACAACTCGTGGAAATTTCTTCTCTCCCATGCGTTCAGGTGTCCACTCTCCCACTCCATTCCATCTAAAGAAGCTATGCCAGGTTTGAGCTTTTACATTACGTTTTCTCGAAAATCTTTAGCCAATGCGTTCGTATGAGTGAAAATAATCATGTTTATGTCTTTAAAAATTCTAATTGCTCGTGTTGTTTTACCAGATCCTCCTCCCCCATTAAGATACGATTTTCGACATCTTGTAATAGGATCGTAAATTGTTGATGCAATACTATCTGGAATATTTTTGATCGATCCCCAATGTCTATCCTTTGGCCAATATATAATATTTTCATCTGATCTATATATTTTTTCGCCCTTGTCACGCCATTGACCAGGTTGAATTTCCCGGATTTCTTGTTCTTCCGGTTGATGTGAAAGAGCATAGGAGTCTGGTCTATAAAACCATTCCCCAAAGCAAAATCCACAAATAAATGGTTTATGTCTTTTGCATTCGTATTTTACTAGAGGCCTTTTTATTTTTAGAAACTCTTTAATCCATTTTGCATATTCTGATTTTGGAATAAGAAGTTCTTCTGGATCGGCACACATTGCACAAGAAGGATAGTGTGAACATAAAATTGGGGAATCGGAGATTCGATGCTTTGCATCATCTGACTTTACCTCAACTTGCTTGAAGAATGCTGGTGTATTTTCGATCTTATATAAAGCCTCTTTTCGTACATATATAGAATCCTTACTACTTCATTAGGATCGAATCTCCGAAGCATCTCTAACAAATTGATATGCGCATATGCTAACATTGAGGCTCGCAAATGCGTGTACTGAGGTTGATGGCCCTCATAATACGTAAGTATAAATCCGAGTAGACATTTCTCCCTACCTGCAAAAGTTCCAGCATCGGTACAATCTTTAATCAAGAAATCGAGTTCACCTTCATCTATTACAAGTCTATGTGTGAGACGTTTCTCGTCAATCTTACCACCTTGCGTGAATTTACCTAAAATTGCGCAACTAATATCTCGATTTTCTGGTAACCATACTTTGGTCTGTTTAGTAAGAGAAATTATTGCCTCTCCAATAGTTACACTTTCTAGAATACCAACCTCAAGAAGATATCGTAGAAGTACAATAGGTACCCATCCTTTTTCTTTCCCACATCCTTCTCCACTTCGACACGCAAAATGTTTTCCGTACCAGACGGGAATCGCTGAATGTATATTTGTTGCAAATTTAAAAGATCTTACCTGCGCAAATCCGGTGATATCATCTTTCGGTAACTTTCCATTTACTGCTACTCGGACAAGATGATGTGTTGGGTGCCCAAATCGATTGAACCATGGCGCGCAATCTCCTTGACCTCGCATACTTGCTGGATAGCATTCTTTCATATCGATACATACGACATCATTGACGCGATAATCGGGTGCATTCCAGCGTCCACCATGCCCATGCTCTACACAGGCCTGTTTTATAACATCATTTATTTTTCCAGATATTGGACGCCATTCATTAATTTCGTTAGCAAGTCGGCTTCCGGCATGGTTTGCACCAAATACTTGCTCTGCTAAGTCAACTACTTTGAGAGACTTTAAAAGAATCGATTTTTTTTCTTCGTTAATTATATTTTCATGAAATTGCCAGTTTACCGCGTCTTCAAATAATTCCTTACATGCTTTTATAATATCTGTATGCTTTATCCGTGTCCTAAATGTATGGCCGTCTTCTAAAACAAATTGAGAAACTCTTTGGTTTTCATCTCCTATTCCCATAAGCCAGATCGCTTGAGGACCTTGAAGGGCATTATTGATAGCTTCCCAGGTATCACCCTTATAATATTCGACCATTCGATCTCTTGGGAAGTGCTGGTTTCTTGGAAATGCATGGCCATTATGAACTACTATTCCGATTTCTTCATACTTACCCGATCGATACTTTCCACTATTGAATATAGTACCATGAGTTATATCAAGTAATTTAATCGGTTGTATAAGAATTTTTTCTAACTCTGCTACATCTTGTACTCGAGCACCTGGAATGCGCATTTTTTTCTCCCAATTATTTATTTTTTGCCGACGAGTTTCTGTGAGTCCATGTCCTCTTTTGGCTTGATCAAAATGCTCTATTACTCGTTCAGCTACACAGTTAAGTGCTCCATCTTTCATAGGCATTAATCGATTAACATCTGGCTTTCGGATTCGATATAATCCATAGACTACTGCATTACTATCAAGCTCCCCTACCTCAGATTGCTCACTGGCTTCTCTAACTAGAAATTTTTCGTCTATTCCTACCCAAAATCCTGGTTTCGTTTTTTTTTGTAACTATAACATTTGGACCACCCCTGACGTATTTTCCACCTGCCTTTTTTGATTCACGAATAGGCTCATATTTATCAATAATTTTAAATGCGTGAGATTCATCTCCATATACAGAATCATTTCGAATGAATTTTACCCTTATTAAGAACTCGCCATTATCGATCACATTTAAAATTTCTCGCGCTCGCTTTTCAGTCATTTCAGCTTCGAATTTTTTTGATTCTATTTGATCTCTCACATATATCAACCAGTTTTTATATCCTTTATTTACTGCCAATTTTATAGTTTCATTGATTTCTTCTTCTGAATAATTCCGACATAGGCATTGTAAAAATAGCTCCTGTATAGCTTCATCTTTATTTTCTAATGCTCTATAAGCATCTACTGCCATTTTTATAGTTTTATTGATTTCTTCTTCTGAACAATTCCGACATACGCATTGTAAAAACACCTCCTCCATAGCTTCATCTTTATTTTCTGATTCTAATATTATACTGGCCAAATCTATCTCTACCTCTTTCGCTTCTGCAAACCAAGTTGAGAAAGCATATTCGGCTCCATCTACCTTGAACATATCCTTCGCAGTCCGAATTCCATTTTGCCATATTGCGCGGTGTTCTTTATTATCTGGAAATGGAACTGGCCATGGTACTTCTACATCTAAATCGAGAAGTTTGCCTTTGTGAATAGGCAATTCTATACTGTCCGATGGCATGGATTGTTGAGTTATCATTTCTTCTAATTTAGTGAGTTTACCTTCACGGTGAGCTTGGGTTCGAGGACCTGGACCAGCTTCGGGATCGATTTCTGGCCGTACCATCGGAGATGGCTCATGCTGAAAATTTGCTTCCTCAATTTCAGGTTCATCAAAGAATTCTTGCTCTTCACGTTTTTCTTCTTCCATTAAAGGTGTTTCTGAGACATTAACATATGCCTCTGGATCAACTTGCAATAATTGATCATAAAGACGTTTGCATTGAAATAAATTTTGCGGTTGAGGGTAATCTTGATAAATCACTTCTTTTATTCTTTTTCGTAATCTCAATCCCCATTGTTTAACAGACTCACCTGATTTTCTAGCATTGGAATCTAGTACAGTTACTTGTGGTATAGGCTGAGTATTACGAGATAGTTGCAATAAAGCTTGACATGGCCTATTTCGTGTTAGATCCATGTGTTTATTAAGATCTCTCGTTTTTCCAGTTTTAGGGCTCCATCCACATCCTGGACATTTACCTATCATATTTTCCGGTGTTTTTTATTATATATTAATTATTTATTATTCAGATTTTTTGTTTAAATAAAAACTATTTATTTCACTTATATATCCTGTCGACCCACAAGTTCACATCCAGATAGTAATAGGTATAGTTAACTATTTTTTTTTATCCCACCTTTCACAGTACCTACTCAAACCAGATCTTAATTAGGTCAACTGCTTTTTCTTTTTCCGAACTAGAGGAAAAAGGTTTTATGTTTTGCAGTATTATGCTCGCCAGCTTAGCAAGAACACTAGTGGACATAAGTGATTACACTTTCTCACAGTAATCGCTCGAAGCCAATATACATGATAGCATACTCGATGGTATAGTCGATAGCATTTACACGACATACTCGAAGGCATAAATGTAACACACTTGATAGTGTATTCGATAACAATTACGCGACATATATTTGGTAGCATAGGCTGATAGCTTATTCATGATAGTATAATCGATAACATTTACGTGATATAAGCATCATATTTGGTAGCATTAATCGGGCCCTTTAGGGGCATCTCTTCGAGACATAGCTTAACCAAATATCATATATATAGCATACTCAATAGCAATTACGCAACATATATTGATAGCATTTCCCAATAACATTTATGATGCTATGTATCGAGCATTTTTTTTATTAAGGAAACAAACTATATCTCTTAAGTTTTAAATCGCTTCGCTCTGTCAAGAAAACACATTATATAATTTAAGGGTTTTAGATAGATTTCTAATCAAGAAAGCAAATTATATTTCTTAAGTTTTAAATCGCTTCTCTCTGTCAAGAAAACAAATTACAGTTCTTGGGTTTCTAGAGGTTAAAAACTCGCAGACTGGAGGTGTTAAAAAAGAAAAGAACACCTTTTCTAGAGTGTGTTCCTGTATATCGATTTCTGATATATGTATATAATGTTATCGATTTTAGTGATTTTAAGTAAAATAACTCGCGGACTGAGGTGTAAAAATAATGCGAAAAAAACACTAAAAAAATAAAAAAAGTCTGCTCGCGCTCCCTGCTGCTGCTTTTCGTTTCTTTCCATTAGTCAGGCGAGCACTTTCGCAGTGCATATTATTCTGTTGGATGAAACAGTTAGTGTGAAATTAGCAACACTGCAGTAAGCTCACCATCCTGAGCAAACCCAATGGCGATTTACCTTCTGTTATACTCGAGCGCTGTCATCACACAACGGTAGATTCCTCTCGACTAACTTCCAATGAGATTTCCTTTCCGGTAATGTTTTTGACAAGAGTGATACATGCATGGAGAATAATTGAAATATATTCGCAATCGTTGCTTCCAATACAGCAATAACAGTTCTCATATTGCTTATCTTGCGTCGTATGACTTTGGTTATTGGTGCAAAGATTCAATTTTGTGAATTTCTTTTTCATAAATAATAAAAATAAAGGTGAAATATCGATAAGTTGACCAGCTTGATCCCGTATTATTGCCAGCACCCCCCTCTTTGAGGTCTTTTTGAATCAGCAAAGACATGTAAATATTAATACAGAAAAGCAATACAGTCACTGTATTTACCCTGCGCTGCACCTTTAATTTTGTTAACTAATTCTATCACCCTTGTTGCCAACCGTGAG